AATACTTGTTCTCCCCACTGTATGTATCTTTGTCAGCTTCTTTTATGCCCAAACAGCCACTGTAATGAGTCCCCACCATACCAATGTTAATTATTCAATCACTTCATCAAAACTTCTTGCAGTTGTAAAAAATAAAATAAAAAATAAAGTCACCAGCAAGAAACACACGTAAGCAAATAGTCCTTTAATCATTTGAGAGCACTGCTTTCATCAAAACATCCATTTGCCTTTCAGTTCACAAACGTCATTAGATTGTACAAATGAGGGCAGCTTCACTTCTCTGAATGGACACACAGTGTGTGGGTGTGCATATGTGCAGAGAGCTTGTGTTGAACAGATTTACGCCGCGGCATAGAAAACATGCATGCGCACACAATCACTTTTCACATGTCATACAAGCTGTAAGCACACGAAGGAAAAGGAAATCAATTCGTTTGAATTGTGTGTTATTTGAAATAAAACAGATGGTGTGATGTGTATTTTATTTTCTAGAAACACAAACTGAAGCTCACATCTCTTAACTGACTAAAATGACAAAAAAAAAAAATATTTGTTGTGTGTTTGTCTTGTGGATATACGACTGAAGTAATGAACCTTACTGATTAAGGATTTTTGCTCCTTATCCTTTTAATGCATTTTGGTCAGCCACACAGTTCATGATATACTCAACATATTTGAATTCTTACAATATCAGATGAGCCCGAACATCTCAGCTACCCTTCTAACTATTACTATTACTCCCCAAGACTTAGAGATAAAGATGCCCTGACCTGCTCCAATCATCTTCTTTGACCTACCAGGAATCTTATTATCAGGAGTTGGGTGATGAAAATAAATACTGATTTATGTGTTAATTACATATAGGGGGCTATGCAATGTGTTCAAAAATACTTACTATGGAGATTTGAGGCGCAGTGTTATAATCAAGCTGTTAATTAGTAGCTGTGTCACTGGGAAAGTGCTTACGCTTGCTAGCAAAAAAAACTTGACAGTGGTGTGAAACATGTGCCGTTACTGTAGTTGTGAAATTGGGGAAGTTCCGCTATACTGCTCCCGAGGGAGACTGAGTCATGGTAACACAACTGGAAAGTTCGAGATGGAAGGGCGGTTTGACTTAAAACTATAAATTGTACTTTTGATCCTTTTTCTTTGGGGCAGGGAGGGGTGAGGGTGGGGGTGGGGATTTGACTTCAGTGGTCAAAAACCAAATTCATTCTTTTCTTTTTGTTTTACGTTGTGTCAGACTGCCATTGATTTACTCAGTAAACTTCAGTAAGTTCACTTAGCAGGTCTAGGATCCTGTACAGATACACATTAGGTGTTATCTCAGTGATAAGAGCCAATACAGAGGCACATCCTTGGAATCCTGTTTAGGGCTGATTATGTGTTTACAGTATCTAAACTGTCAGCTCTAATTGTTACCAATATAAAGAGTATGTCTCAAAACTAATTCCTGGCCTGTGGTAGGTTCTCCCTGCCAAGTTTTATTATTTGAAACCCATTTGTTGTCATAGAGTGGTTTTCTCTATATATCTTAAGCCTTCAGCTTCATTGATCGATTGATTGCCTCCAGGATGGCAAAAATCCCAAATATCCAGCATTATTAGCTCTAGATGGTAGGAGTGTGATAGTAGGAGTTATATGTCATATATAATTCTCATATGTCCCCTAGTTCATATTTTCTGACTCTGTATGGTAGTTGGCTGTGTGATAACAACACTGGTAGAATTCTGCCGTTTTCAGTCACAGCTGGTAGTGTTTTTCATATGCACACATCTTCCGCAGAAGGATCTGGATTTGATCAATTTGAGGAAAACAAAAAATGAAGGTCAAAGAGAACACAGTGGCTTACAGCAAAACAACATGCTTACAATTCTGGGGAAACTTTCTGACCTTTCATAAAATCACAATTTAAGAATTAAGTTATCTAAAAACCCTCAGTCACGTTCAGATCTAAACACATCTGGTCCTGTTTCGACAGGTCTGTCTAAGCTTATAGTGCCATCCTTTCGGTGCAGGAAGCCCGGACGCTGCAGTCAGAGCCAAAGCTACCATTTCAAAACAACAACATAAAACCTTTAAAATACAGTTCAATAAATTAGGTGCAGTGCTAATGTGTCCAGATAATTCCTAACCTCCATGCCAAACACATTCACAAGTCCTGTGGCTGGAGTGGTTGAAAGACAAAAAATATCCTTCTGACACGGCTGCTGAATCAAGTAAAGACTGCTATTCCCCTGGCTTAGGTTTAGGAAAGGTGCTGGACAGAGCGGTGGTCTAGACACAAGGATATTGTAGTTCACCTTCACAGAGGGCTGCACGATGCCCTCATACATTTACCTTCTGTCCAAATACTTCAGAATGCTGGCGGAAACAGACAGTTCAAGTTTTTCTTTGCAGCACACTGTCTTGAATACCTACCACATTCTTACACTTAAAGCACTCATTGTCATATTAATATGGAAGATGGTCTCGTGGCTGTCATCTTTAATTTATTGCGTATTATCCAGCCCTATCTGCACATTTCTTCCACAGCCATGTTCCACAGAACCTTTGCGAGAGCATTTAAGAACACATTCGTACAGTTTCTATGGAGTAAAAAAAGACACTATCTGGTACGTGCGTGGGCTGCCATATTGGGCTCAGTCGGAGGGATCTGCCTGTGTAGTTAGACCAGTGAACGGGGTTGGGCAGTGGCTTGGCACAGGCAGGTCTGACAATTGTGAAGTTGTGAAAAATGAACCAGAACAAATGAGCCATTGCTGTGTCGTACAAATCACACTGGGGGTTTTCAGCAGTTGTGAGGGTTTGACTGATGTCCTCCGCTGATATGAGAAATCAGTACAGAGCTTCAAGTCAAAGACAGAACGACACGTTGACGTATTCACAGAGGAACCGATGGTGCAGGTAAAAACTGTCTACACTAGTTTTTATGAAAATGTGTTTCCTATGATATGTTTCCACTCTAGTCAAGTGTATTTGTATAGCCCTTCATTGCAGTTTCAAAGGCTTTACAGGCCCACATTAGACAAGAACCTATGTTTAGGCAGATAAAGTGGAACAGGTCAGGTCAGAAATGTGCTGGTATCCTTGTGTCTAAACTAAACGCTGCTAAACAATTCACAGCATTGAAATGTTTTCCAAACAGCCTTAAAAATCTTAAAAACAACATTACACTTTAAGAAAACCATTAAAAAGGCCCTTTTCTCTCTCAAAGGACTGACAAATAGTGGATTAGGTTACATTCAGGTGCATGTTGCCTGACTTTTAACCAGTTTCTAGGGCTGTACCGAATGTCTTTTGTTACATTTTATGACGTAAACATACATAACATGAACAACTTAAATCATTTACTTTAATACTATTCGAGCCAAAGTTTTGTTATTATATTATTATGATGCTGTTAAATTGCTGCTA